TTTTTTCGCACATAGATTTTGTGAGAGGAAACATCCTGGGAGTAACTGTGCATAGGGCTTAAGCCATAATAGACCTCCCATTCCCTCCTCCACCCTCCTCACCCCACAATGCTCCCTCCCTCACCCCTCGTAGTCATGGGACCATATTACGGACATCCCTGCCAAGCCCCTCCCCCCCTCCCCCTCCCCTAACTGAGCCCAATTGCTACATCATTTTCTCCACGTTCCTCCACGGCAGACACAAGCGTAGCAGCGTAGCATACACGGCAACAAATCATCGTGACATCCACCGGAATGGTGTGTTAAGTAAGCACGGCAGTGTTATCCGCTGGGTAACATTTTTGTTGAGCTGCTTTGCGGATGAAGTCATGTCATGACAGAAGCGTCTAAAAGATTCACAGCCTGAAGAGAGGAGCGGCGCCCGTCACACTTCACGCCTCTGGGGTGGCTATGAGAATTCACGCATCACTGAGGTGGAAGGCGCCGTATCCTCCTCAGCCAGTCTCGCGGCTACTGTGTTATTGAAGATGGGTCAGGCCAAGAGGCCGCAGCTCATGCAGTGTGCAGTGGTGGCGAGTGCAGGCACAGGCCGCCGGTGTCATGGTCCGAGATTGCCCGACTGCAACACAGCTCTGGCATTAAGGAAAGTCCTTGGAGTCTCGCCAGCCCTTTTACAAGCAAGATAAGGTGCCATTATTCCAATACTATATATGACCTTAATTGGGCGGAGGGAGGAGGGAGGATGGTACAAATATTATGGGGTCCAAACACGATCAGAACCATCATAAAGGTTCATGAGAACCGAACCTATGGGATTTTGTACCTCGGGGTACAAAAATTATGGGGTCCTATTGAAACGACCCTCAAGAAGGTAAGGAATTTATCCTGTCCATAAGGTCACGGGCTTGGTCCTTATTGGGCCCATAGTGTCGCATACAGCCTGCCGCCGCATCATCGACCCTGCCGTTCTCACCTCACAATGTGAATGGCTGATGTTGCCGAGGTTCAGCCGGTACACGCGGTCCCTGGAACAACGAAGCAGGCATACACATTACTCACAAAGCACTGCAGCGGAAAACATGTCGATCCTCAATTTTTCACAAAAATAGGGGGATGCAAAAGAGATCGTTGATGGAGTACGTCCTTGTTTTTCTCAGATTCATTCGGCAAATTACGGGAGCTCGGCGCCTGCGAGACTCGGGGTAGGCCAGCCCGCAGTACACGCATGCATACTGCAGGCAAGATGTTGCCTACCTATCAGGCGCCATGAGAGCTTGTCTCTGCTGAGCTGGCAGTTTCCAAACGGACGGCCAGTGAAAGACATACATCCTAGATGATCCTACAGGCATGTATTGTAGGTATGAGGCAGCTTGGATTTAGTAAGAAATGGACTGTCAACGTCAGAGCAATTGCAATGGGGAGTGGTAAGAGAGGGTAACACGTTGTACCTTGGATTTAAATCAGTAAGTTTAATTAAAGCCCGGGCGTATTTTTTTTTTAATGCAAACGGATTGTTACACACCTTTTGCCTTCCCTGCTGACACACGCTATTTGCAAGAGGGGTATCTCGCTCCAGTATCTTTGCTAGGAAAATGTCACACCGTGGCTTTTGAATGGCGGCGCGATTCCGTTTCTGCCTGTGCGAGCCACTTAGTTTCGACAGCCAGTCATTTCAAACGGGCGCGCGCGCAATTTGGCACACGCGACTACACCCGGCCCGGCGACTACTACGGCCAAAAAACCTCCCCTCACTTCAGACCCTAAAAATTACTTGGGAACACAACACCAACTGTCTTATCGTTGTGATTGTTTGTTAAACGTGCCCACCCCGTAAATACCTCCACTGCTGCTGCTCCGAGCTAATTATTAAAGTTACACCGCGCGCCGTCGTTGGTTTTTTCCCCCTCCTCTCTGCCCTAATTAGAATGATTTAAATGTAATTGCTTCCCTGCCTTCAATTGCGCGCGGTCCGGAAGCCAGTCGTTACGCTACCACTTCCACGGAAAGCGGGTCTCCGCTGGGAGCCATCCACGCACATAAATAATGCACTGCTTTCGAGTTTCTGCTCCGGCCATGACCGTGTGCTGTACCGGTACTCTGACTGTGGGCGTGGGGGCCGGCTATGGAGACACGCAACATTTTAATGACTCTGAAAAATACGTTCCTTTTACCATGTCAAACAACGTGGCAAAACCAGGGGACCTTAAGGGAAGTAGACTATGCTAGTCGAAACCCGGAGGTGTTAGCGTTCTCACACTATTTAAATATGCAAGTCGCGGTGGAGGTTTGCTATTTATTTTCTACTCACAAAGCTGGTCTACACCCAGACAGTTCACTCCGATCTTCTTTCTCATGACACTCTCCTTCATAACGCCTGTGTCCGATTATTTTTTTTTAATTTATTTTTGCCTTTACACAAACACTGCGAGCGGCTCAATAATCCCAGACGGCCGAACGCTGCATGCCGAGCAGGCGATCCCATTACAAAGGCAACGGCGCAGTCCGGCCGGCGAGGCGCACACCGGACCCGAGGCTGTCGTGCCGTCCGTCGCGAAGGGGAGGTCGCGCGGGTAGGGGCGTCCTTCTGTTCTGTTCGATGGGCCGAGGGCCAAAGGGTCGCGAGAGACGGCACAAAGGGCAAAAGCTCGACGTCAAAAAAAAAAATGAGCACAATGCAACAAGCGAGAATGAAGAACCGTGTGATTTTGGGTAAGCATGAGCGATTTTGTCCGCTCCTAACTCGAACAACATATTCACTGTGCTGCCCCTGCTTCTTTCTTCTCCACCCCCTGATCCCCTAGTCTTTTGTCCCTTATGCAGCCCCCACTTCTACCTCTGCCCCCTGCGCTGCACTATCTTGCTGCCCCCAGAGCCATATAGAAAATCGCAAAGATCGCGACAAGTGTCATGTGTCCTCTAAAAAACTAAGCTTTAGCTACATATTCACCATCTAATTTCACTGGTAATCGTGTCAATGAACGTATGTCCAAAAAAACATATTTTTTATTTA